AAAAATATAAATCACATAATGAAAATAAAATAATATAATTAGTCATAGATAAGCTCTCATAATTCCCAACCAAATATGAATTCAAATCAGCCCTCTTTCCCAAAATAATTATCTCCCAAATCTAAATTCAAAACAACCATCTTTCCCTAAATAAACCAACATAATAACCTTTCAAATCAGCCCCCTTTCCCTAAACAAACATTCCTAATTTCCTTCCAATCAAATCAACCCTCTTTCTCTAAATAAATCTTCTAAATTTAATCTCAATCAAATCAGTCATCTTTCCCTAAATAAACCTTCCTAATTCCCTCCCACGTAAATCATCCCTCTTTTCCAAAATAAACATTCATAATTCCATCTCAATTTTGGTCTTCTATGGTAAGTAATTAATCCCCTTTTTGACCCCCCCGGCCCCCAAAACCCCCTTCATCCACCCTAGTAGAGCCCACAAGCTCAGCCGGTCCATCACAACTCACCTTCACGTCAACCCAACTCACAAGCATTCCTAGCCTATGCACATTAGCCTTCATTAAACTAATTCTTGTACTTTGGTGCGCCTACTCATTTCATTCCAACACTCAATCACCAATAACAATACACTCCCTATTCAAGCTCTAACCAAGTCACATTAGGTATTGGCAACTCAGTATCTATTTCGCACACTAACAACATCATTCTACCTACACCCCATCATAATTCATAAGTTAATTCTTTCCTGACTACTTCATGCCCCAGAATTATCACACAATCTACTCTATGTTCATAAACTACTAACCGATAATAATTGCTCCATTTCCTTCTGGCTTCCACATTTAGGATAGGATAACCAACCAATTTCTTCTACAGGGCAGACGTCATAAGGCCCTCTACCTGATTCACACACATCCAGCTAACCCCTCCACCATTATGTTATTTACCTTCATCCCTAACAATCTCTATGACAGATCTCAGATATCCATATGCTTGAGCTCTTTCTCCACTAAATCCAATCTACAAAAATCTCTCTACATACCTTCTACTTTTTTGCACCAGATGTAGCTCAACTAAAAATCAAGAAGTACCATTTACCACTTGCTATCATAATTATCAACTTTTAGAACAAATTCACATTAATGTATGGGATCCCACCATAATTATCATTGCTCAAGGATAGAAATACTACGTTTATTTCATCAATGCCCATGCTCATTTCTAATGAGTTTATCCTATCATAACTAAATCATAACTCAAAATTTTATTCATTTCTAATTTATGGTTGAAAATCAATTCAATATTTGCATCAAATACCTTCGCTCAGATAACGGTGGTGAATATAACAACACCACCCTTCATGATCATCTATTCACCCATAGCATAACCGACCAATTCAACTACCACTATATCCCCAAATAAAATGGCTTCCTCAATGCAAACATTGACACCTACAAGAAACCACATATACATTACTCTTGGATGAAAATCTACCATATCACTTGTAAGTCAACTCTCTACATGTGCAACCTATCTAATCAACCGTCTTCCCTCTAAAACCATCAACATGAAATCCCCTTACTAACTTATAAACATGCAGCAACAACAACATCAAGCATTTATCCCACTACGTGAGGTCAGCTACATAAATCCTTTTTCTCCATTGTGTCCTGTTAAGAGTCAAATTCTCATTTAAATCTAATAAAGAAATGTCATTTCTAATATCTTTTTAACCAAATTTTTTTAGGTTTACCTCTAGCTTTCTTAACATAAGCCAAATATAATACATCCACTCTCCAAACTGGATCATCGAAAGGCCACCGTTTCATATGAAGAAACCATCTAAGGCAACTGTCTCTAATCTTATCATCCACTGGAGCAACTCCAACCTTTTTCACGTATAAGATCGTTTTGTATCCTGTCTCTAAGAGTAAAGCCACTAATCCACCTGAGCATCCTAATCTCTACAACACTTAACTTAATATTATGCTTCTCTTTTAATGGTCAACAATCTGTGCCATAAAGCATTGCAAGTCTCACTACCATCTTATAGAATTTTCTCTTAAGTTTGAGGGGTGTTTTTCTATAACACAACAAGCCCAATGCATTCCTCCACTTTGACAATCCAACTTGAATTCTACAAATAATATCCCCATCTATTTCACAATCCCCCCACTAGATTTATTACTACTAAAATTACACTCCATATATTTAGTTTTAGATCCATTCAAACGAAAACCTTTAGACTCTAAGGTTGACCTCCATAATTCAAGTTTACCTTCAACTCCCTTTCTAGTCTTACCAACATGAAGGATAGAATCAACAAAAAGTATACACCAATGTACAAATTCTTGCAAATGTCTAGTAAGAACATCCATGACTAAAGCAAACAGATATGGGCTTAAGGCTGATCCTTGATGTAATGCATTCGTAAAGGAACATGAAACAACTAATATATTTACACGCTAAGTTCTTTACTTACTCATGCTTCACTCGGCAACAATCATTATCCCCTTATAAGTAGCCCCAAAATCACCTTAATACATCTTTGTAGGGCCATTCCTCTATTCGTAAAGGATGCAACTGTTATGATCCTGCCTTGGGCAAAGTCATGGTCTCCAGCCATGTCACATTCTACAAATAAAATTTCCCATATAAAACACAAACGACAACACCTCCCAACTCGGCTATCCCTCCACACCTCTCACTGTTAACCATAACCCCTATCTCAAGCTCCTCCCTACCATATCAAAAAACCTACAATTCACAAATACCAAATCCATCTCCCCCAAAAAACACATCCCCTCCAACAAACCTAGTTGCTTCCCTCTCACTATCCACACCAACATATCTGCATCACCCTCACTTAACAATCACAACTCTTGGTGCAACCAACCCACCTTATGCAAACATGTCTCAAAACTATATTCCTATAAACAAAAATCATTTTAAAGCTTGCACATAAAATAAACAACACGTTCAATACCACTTGCTTTTCTCAAACAATCAAATACATGCATTAGCGGTAAGCAATGTCACAGGAGTTCATTGCCTTACAACAACAAGGAATCTGGAAATTTGTTCCCCCACTTTCAAATAAAAAACTTATTAGATGCAGATAGACATATAAATAAAGCTTAACTCTGACAAAATTATTGCTCATTACAAAGCACATCTCCTTGTGCAAGGCTTTAATAGCAACAAAACATTGACTACAATAAGGCCTTAAACACCATTACTAAGATACAAACCATTCACATTCTCCTCACCATCACAATACAAAATGACTAGAAAGTTCTCCAACGGGATGTCTTCAATGCATTTCTCCATGGTAAACTTGATGACCATGTCTACATGACCTAACCTCCCGAACTTCTTGACACTGCGTACTCTCACTACGTTTGCCTCCGAGAAAAAGCTCTCTATAGCTTCAAACAAGCACCGAGATATATGGTACTCGACCTTCTCTATCCACCTCCTTAACAAGGCTTCAAGTTAAGCTCTGACAACCCCTCATTTCTCACTTAAAAAATCACAACCAAATCAACATGAAGCTTCTAGTCTATGTCGACAACATCTCAATCATAGGCAACAACAGCACTGCAATCACACAGTTTGTCCAAAATCTCAATGCCTCATTCATTACATAACAGTTGGAAAAAAAACTCATTTATATTCAAGTGCAAACCATGCTGAGCCTTCTCAATCAAAAACAATACATTACCAAAATTCTTTAAATCTCAACCATGGCGAGCTGTAAACCTATCCTTACTCCTTTTACCTTTGAACTGCCCCTTGACAGCACATCACAACAAGAGTTAAAAAATCCTCAATACTACTAACTTTTTAGATCACTCCAACACAAATCCGTTAAGAGGCCAGACATTACCATTCTCCACATTACCACTTAAAATCAAGTTGCCAACATATTCACCAAGTCTCTAGCAACCTCACACTACCAACAACTAAAAAGCAAGTTAACAATCCACTTCTTGGATCACCAATCTTCGGGGAGGTAACATCTCGCTACTCTGTGCTTAACTGCAACAGCTATCTTCACATGGAGAGGCCAACTCGCCCTGCAAATGAATCTCAGCCATAACTCCATAACAACTCAACTCATAATCACCATTGGATCTTTGCGATACATTTACTCCAAGGAGTGGTGTTATATCTCCAAACAAAAAGGAATGAAATCGTGGAATGTATTCTATATATAATACTCTTTGATTCTCTTTAATAACTATATTTATTCTCTCTACCTGAGTCTCCTCTCCAAGCCTACTCTTATTCAGTTATTCTCACTGAAGTTTCTCACTTGTCAATACACTATAAAGCAAACTCCATCTTAACGTGCAGAACCGCATCAATCATCAAATCCAAGCTTTACAAAAAAATCAACAGCCCAATCTACATAAAACGGCCTCCTACCTAAGGACCATGAATAAGGACTTCTTTTTAACTTGCCCATAACTAAACCACTCAAGGTCCAACAAAAACGACTCAAACCACTTATTAATTAATAACCACCAAAAACCGCCAAAAGAACCTACATAGACCATCCCAGCTAAAGAAACAAAGACCCCGTCAAAATACCAGCATTCCACTATTGACTAAAACCACTGAAATTCATTATCATTGGGATATTGTTATCCTTTACTTCCAAGCACATAGAAAAACCACCCTAAACCCCCAAATCTTAGGACTATAAATAGCTGTTAAAGCCTGAAGGGTATGTTTGGTAGCAAGATATTCAATTTATTGTAAATCCTATCAAACGGTCAAAAAGACCAAAATAAATCCAATGCATTTCTAAATACCATTTTACTACGTCTCGGTCTAAATTCCCGATTTACTGAACCCTGGGGCTATTTGGTAGCAAGATTTAAGCAGGATTTACGCCGGATTTATTGTAAATCCTGACAAACGTTTAAGCGCTCAGTAAATCCGAATCTATCGTAAACCTCGGCGGAGCATTTACAGGATTTACGAACTTCCGGATTTAAGGACTTGTGGAGAAAGATGGTTACCTTCGCAGCAAGCGAGCTCCCGTTGTGACTTCCAATCCGACGTCGTGACGACGTCGAACGAGGCGAAGAAGCTACGAAGAAATGGCGGCGAGGAGAAACGAAACGCTACTTCACGCCAAGAACGCCAAGCGAAGCATCAACGAAGAAATGACCGCGGGGAGTAGCACTGCAACGAAGAAATGGAGAAGTTGAAAAGCAAACCCTATCATTTAAATTATAAATTAATTTGATTTAGCTTAATTGATAAAATATAAAATATTAATAATTAATGATATACTTAAAAAAAATAAACAACAGGTATCAATAGAACATTTACATAATCTTAAAGTTATTGATTTCCTGGAATGGATCAAGAGAATAATGGCTAACACTATCTTCATCACAAATGTGACAAACCTTCACAAATTTTCAATTTAAAAAGCCATTTTAATAACAATGGTAATTACAGTTGAGTGCATTCCTTATTTCCTTTTGAATGATACCGAGCTTGTTCCCCATTTTAACAAACGTTAGCTACAATTTAGTGTAATTACAAAAGCAAAACTGTAATAAGACTTAAGAAAATCGAAAATCACAAAACATAACACTAGTTCTAAGATCAAAACATTGAAATTTATAAAATCAGAAGTACCTGAATGAAAGGATGAACTGCTGAAATGGGAAAGCCGGAAAGGTCAATGGATTTCTTGGCGGCGAGGCTAACCGGTGACACCGACGCGTCTTCACTCTTCAGCGACCTCCTTGACGAGTCGAAGAAGGAGGAAGGCCGAGCCGCTGAGCGCCGAACTGACGAAGGTCGAACCGTGGAAAGCGAAATCTCAAATCGAACTGTGCGGATGATATGTGAAGAGAGGCGCGCTACCTGTGCGGGATTATTTGCGAGAGAGGGCGACCGAGCGGATTGGTTACGGCAAAAAAAAAAAAAAAGGAAAAAAAAAAAAAAAAAAAAAAACTTAGAAATTTATATTACCCGTCAAATGTCAACTGATAAGAATATCAGGTCATGAAATTTCATTGTCATGCAGTTAGACAAGCAAATTGATGAATTTGAAATGCATCCAATCCGTATGAATTTCAAATTTATCAAAAATGAATTTTTTTGGAAAAATTATTCCATGCAGTGTCTGGACGCATCTACGTGACTCGTCCGAATTGACATTCGAACACGTTCGGACACTGAAAAGAATAATCTCTCGAATTTTATGAGGTGTAATATAAAATTCTTAGGAAAATATTTTAAATTTATTTATTTTTACCATGGGTATTAGAAAATTCAAGACTCATATGTTCCAAATATAATACAATCATAATACTTGTAATCAAATAACATTAAAGTTTCTTCTTAAAATTGATTCGGAAATGTTGTATTTAACTCTTTTACGTTATCATTACGTTATATCTAAATAAAAAATAATTTTAATGACAATTGCATTTCGTTCCTTCACTCAAATCAAACAAAGGCTTCTAAAACGTGTACGGTGTACATTATACTGAATTTTTCATTAGCTAATTTACTTCGCAATCACACTAATGAAGTAAGTAACCTACCCACATGTTAGAGATAAAACCCACCAACCCAATCTATCTGGCAAATTCAACTCCTCTCATAGCCGTTAAACTATAACCTGTTAAGCAAATCTTACTTGAAGTTAGGTCGAGGTAGGCCATCTTCGATAGGGGATTACGCCATCTTTGACCTTTTCATCTTCAACTCTTCGAAAAAATCAGCCATCAGATAGATCTAAACTGCACCAGAAGAATATTGCTTGCACATTTCCTTTCTCCTTTCCAATATAAGTTTAAATACGAGCCATTGCTTCAGCAATTCATGTAATTTAGCAGAGTGAAAGGCGTAAGAATGGGGCATATTGGAAGAGCAAAGTTAGCCATGGCGTTGCTTCTGCTTGCATGGATTGGACTGGAAGAGAGGAGATGTTCAGGTGCTGTGGTGCAATTCATCTTCGGAGATTCGTTGAGTGATGTTGGGAACAATAACTATCTGACCAGGAGCTTGGCTCGTCCAGCTTTGCCATGGTATGGGATTGACTTCGGCAATGGAATGCCCAGTGGAAGGTTCACTAATGGCCGCACCATTGCTGACATAGTAGGTACGTGATCGTTAAGATTTGAATTTCATGATATTTAACGGTCTTCTTCTTAGATGAAGACACTCCATATCAATCGTCAATCTCTTTTAAATGAATGTAATCATCTGGTGTAGTTGTGGGAGTCTCCTGCTCTTGATCTTTGCTCAATCATATTAGAAGTTAACATGGCCTATGAGAGAGACAAAATCTACAAATCATTTGATCCTAATCATATAAATCAAAGTGGCCGGTTCAAAATTTGATCTGAAATACTGGCAGCAATCATTTTTTTTTTCAAACTAGAAGATTAACCTGATATAAGAGGAGCAATTACTTGATATTTGAATACTAGCATATTTTTCTCCAAGAGTATATGAGATTTAATCCAATACCATCTTGTGTCTTGCATAAATTACTCTGGGCACATCTTTAAATTAAGGATGGTCAATAAAATCATTTTAAGCCTATTTGTCCCTCAGAGAAAAACAAATAATGGGCTAGTTGGAGATCACATAATTAAAGAGTTAATACCACTAGGAAGAATGGCTGTCAATGGTGGAGGTGGTCATCATTGGCAGTCCCTATGGTCACTACATAAAAATCATCTATTATCGACGGAAATTGTTTATTTTTCGGTGGAATATGAACATACTGGCAGATTTATGGTGAAAATTTTTTAGCCAGTAAAAACTGCGTAGGGAAAATATTCCGGAGTAAAAATAGCTACCGGAAAATTTTTTGACGGCATAAAGCCGTCAGAAAAATTAAAATTTTTTAATTAAAAAGAAAAGCCACCATGCCCATCTGCCTCACCATCGCGCTGCTTGCTACCTACCTGGCTGACTACCCGCCCATGCTGCCCACTGCCTGATCGCCCTCCCGTGCTGACGGCTGCCCGGCCACCTTCCTAAGCTGACCGCTGTTTTCCCGACAGCGCTTCTGCACTGCGAGGCCGCCCTCCCGTTTTGTTGGTTGCCCGGCTGACCACCGCGTTGCCCGTTGCCTACCCGCTCGTCTTGTTGTGGGATTCAAACTGGGTTTGGAGAAATTTTTCAAAGCCCCAAACAATTTAATTTGCTGAAGAGGCAAATGCGTAGAGAAATTATTTATTTATGTAACTTATAGTTATAAGGAAATTAGAATTAAAAGTTAATTAAAATAAAATATTAAAGTTAATAAATTAATTATTAAATTAAGAAATACTTAAACTAAGTTATTAATTAATAATTAATTAAAATAAGTTAGTAAATTATTAATTAATTAAATTAAAAATTTATAATTTTTTAGAAATTATTAAAATCCGTCGGAAAGCCATTGGAAACCCGTTGAAATTTCTGCAATCCAAAATATTTCAGCGTAATCCGTCGGAAAATTGTCGGAAAGCCGCTGAAAAATAGTCCGCCGAAAAGCCGTTAGTAATGAGCAATTTTCCTCTATTGGGTGATGGCTATTGAACTTCATAGTTGGCCAAAAGTTGTGGAAGCTGCATGGGTATGAGTTGTCGGCGATTTTAACGTAATTAAGATATTAATTTGGACCTTGATACATTTGTGTTATGCTTTTTGCATGAGGAAGAATGAGCATCTTTATCCTTCTTGCAAGAACGAGAAAGGGAGAGGTAAGAGAGGGAGAGAGGAGCTGCAGGAAATTTTTAATCCTTAATCAATTGGGCTTGTACAAGAGGGGCACCCTTACAGCACTCCACACCTCTCTAGCTATTTATAATACTAGGAGGATACAGCACTCCACTCCTTAAATAATTTTTAATCCTTAATCAACCTATTTGACTTCTCTAATTAAACTTGGTCACATTCATTTGCTGTGGCTACTTATTTGTTGCAGGTGATACATTGGGTCTCCCAAGGCCTCCAGCTTTCCTTGATCCTTCGCTGGATGATGAGGCTATACTCAATAAAGGAGTCAATTATGCATCAGGAGGCGGTGGAATCTTGAATCAAACCGCATCACTTTTTGTGAGTTTTAGTACTTATTCTTAATTGAATCCAAACAAAATAAATAGATAGATTTGCATTGAGGGATTAATTAAAAGTTTTTGCGTTGCAGATTCAAAGATATTCACTGTGGAAACAAATCGAACTGTTTAAAGGAACTCAAGATATGATAAGATTGAAGATTGGCGACGAAGCCGCTGACAGGTTCTTCAAGCAAGCTCGTTATGTTGTAGCCATGGGAAGCAACGACTACATCAACAACTTTCTGGTGCCAATTTATCCTGATTCATGGAATTACAATGGAGAGACTTTCACGAACTACCTCATCACTACACTTGAGAGCCAATTAACGGTATTTTATTAACATAAACTACATTGATGAATTATCATTATTCGCAAAAAAAGCAATATCTGGTATGACCATCACATATATATATTTTACATAATTTCTTATGATATCTAAACAAGAAAATAAAAGATTATATATGTAACTCATTATTAACTAAATGCGCATAGTTCAATCCAGGTCAATAATGAATGAGTTTAACGTCATCATATGGACTTTCAACATGATATATGAAGTCTATGTTAGGATTTAAAGGAGTTGGAAAAGTAATTTCGCTGTCTCCGAAAGACATATCAAATCATCGAGAATAATTATCTGAAGCTTACCTGAATCTATCCATTGAAATGCAAAATCAAGGTCTTCGATCTTCCACGTTTGAAGCGGCGTTCTCCAAAAGAGCAACAGACCCCTTCTTTTCACTCAAGATGGAAAATGAGGGAAATGAGAACTTCACCGCTTAAACTGAGGATCATGACCATTTTATACTTCAAGTGTATTAATTTTTATTTCAGCTCATCATTAAAATAGTATAAATACTTTGCATCTACACAAATAATTATTTTCATACAAACTTAATTGAGATGTATCACGAATTTAATTGTCTCAATTTTAGATAGTGCCTAATATATAATACTTTAATTATATGTATAAATATATGAACCCTCATACAAAAATTTCCGGACAGTCTGAACATTCTTTCTTCTCATATAGTTTCTGGTGCATGTACGTATATTTTGCAGGTTTTGCACTCGCTGGGAGTAAGGAAGATGACATTATTCGGTTTAGGCCCACTGGGTTGCATCCCATTGCAGAGGTTTTTGGCTTCATCTGGGCAGTGCCAAGAGTCTACAAACAAGCTAGCTCTCATGTTCAATAGCAAATCTAAGAATCTCCTGGAGAACTTGTCAAGAACTCTTCCAAATGTTACTTTTAAGTTTGGAGATGCTTATAGTTTATTTCAGAAAATTATAGATCGCCCAAAAACCTATGGTTTGTATATTCTTTCCCGGATATATCAGATCAAATTTACAGGAAATTGGTTGAATACTTGCGGTATTTCCAGTTTAAACTGACGGTCAAGGCGGTCAACCAACCGCTGAAAATACTGCCGATATTTTTTTTTTTTGGTGGCAGCTTTTACCGATGGTTTAGCTGCCGTTTTTTAATAAATTTATGATAAATAATCATTTTCTTGTTTGCAGGTTTTACAAACTCAAGTGCTCCTTGCTGCTCGACAGGAAATATCAGACCTGCTATCACATGCACGCCATTGTCAAGCTTGTGCAAAGATAGAAGCAAGTATGTGTTCTGGGATGAGTATCACCCTACAGACAAAGCAAATGAATTGATAGCGAACTCATTCGTGAAAGCACTAAACTTCGGGAAACCAAAAAAAGGGACAAATTAAAAAGTTGTACCATAAGAAAATCAAGAGGAATATCGAATTGAATATTTTGCTTAATATCGGTTAGTATTGATGTTAGCATAACATAAATACTGATCAATATTAAACTTAAAATTGAGCTAAAATCTCTTTGAAAAAAGAAGAGTGTGTGAATAGCTAATGTAATTTGTGTGCGATTGTTGTTATATACAGCTTGAGAAAGTTCCAAATAGTGATGTACAGTGGTCACTATTTAAAATTAATGCATCTGAGAAAGGTGTCTACGTGCATGGTATATTGACAACTCATTTACTTCTTGTGTAAATGGTAATAAATATATTTTAGATGATATAATAAATGATATTTTGTCTTGTTTTTATTTGTTTTACTTGATTTTTTTTGCATCATCTAGCTTTTGTTAATTTTCTTTGGATGGAATGAATAAACAAGTACACTACTTATATTTTTTGTTTTAAAATAAGCTTGTTTAACACCGTTCAACGCTAAATTTTATTTGGGTTTGGTTTGAGTTCGATGAATCATATTCCTTTTCAAATACATATTATTGACCTTCGCCAAAATCCAGAAAAGCAACAGAAACCACAGGTACCAATAATTCGGCGTCGTTTACTTCGTCTCATGCATTTCTTGCTCAAACCCCGCACCTCGATTGCGCCTATGTTTATTGATAAAAGCGGAGACGAGAGAGATCTTGCGGCTTGTTATGCACATGCACTCCTTCTCTTCCACATACAATCAAACCCAAATCTCCTCCTCTGTCTACAACAATCGTGGCTCCCTCTGCTTGATCGAAGCAACCCATTCAACCTACTGTGTCGACACCTAGATCGAACTCGAGCCTCCTCCTCAAGATTCCAAATCCCGGCCTCCAGCATCTGATTTCACACTCAGATCTACCATCCAGCTGCTCCACCTTCCTCCTGTGCAGTCGAACCCGTAGCACTACTCTCATCAACCTATCCAAGCCTCACGACTACCGATCTCCTTACCTATGCTGAGCCTTACCTGCTTGATCTACATCACGATCGAACGACCAGCCAGCCCGATCGGAAGCTCGATTCAAAAGATGTTTAGAGAGCTTTTAGGTAAATGTGGGATCACCTAAGTAGCTTGGGATGAAGAGAAAAGCAATGTCCAATGTGGTTTGACCATATGGGTTTACTTAGGCTTATGGTTTACTACTTGGCCTGTCAACTGGTCAAGTTGAATGATGAGGTGGACATGGGGCATTATAGCTGCAGGTGAGAAGCCTTGGAGGAAGTTTAGAGAAAAGAGTTCAGAGTTTATAAGGAGGGTTGACCATTTCAAGCATTTTGGAAGGCCTTGTTGACCTTTTGACCAGTTAACCTGATCAAGGCTACTGAGGTGGCATCCAAGGAGATATAGTCTAGTGAGATGCTTGGGTGACTGGCCAAGTGCTTGGAGCCATGGCATGGAGTTTGAGCAAAATTATGGAGATTTGACTAAGTCTTGGTGAGTTGACTTAGTTAAGCTCACTATGATTTGACTCAGCAATGATTTAGAGGTTTTCACATCATGCATTGGAGTGGATTTGAGGGTTGAAGAGGTTGATTTGAATGAATGTAGTAGACTGGCCCAAATGGATTTGGTTTGACCAAATTTTGTCTTGGTTGACCAAATCAATTAATGACTAGATTAGGGTGACCAGTCAATCTCAATTCACTAGGTAGATCAGGGACAATGATGACATGGGACGACTGAATCATTAGATCTTGATCGGGCCCATCATCACTTCATCCATCATCTTCTTTAAGTGTAAGATGGTGAAATTTTTAATTTTAAATATCAAAATTTAAAACATCCAAATCATGTTGTTGCCGTACACCAGATACAACGTACCTCTACTTATCCGTTTGACAACTAGCCTCAATCGAAAGTTCTCTCACGCTATCGGGAGGGATAATTAACTATAGGAGTTTGCATCTATAGGAAACCTGAACTCAAACCATAAAGTCCTCGAAAAATGAGGACGAAATATCTTGGTACTGTCTTATTTAAAATGCAATCCGCCTTATGAAAATTCGCCTCAAAACTTAATTGTTAAAACTCTCCTCGATGACCCGAAGAGAAGAAAGGAATCTACGGAAAGACCGGGGTGCGAGTTTTCGGAGCCCACACACATTAACCATTATCTCATGATTTTTAGATGCTAAAAAAGATTTCTTATATTCAAACATATCAAAAAGAAAAACTAATTGTGACCTTCCAATTTACTGCTGACCTTCTTGCAGGGTAAATAAGCTTTAAAGTTACACAACATTTCCCTTAGATGGTAAGGGAAAAATGGCAAAGTATTGAACTGGAGGATGTCTTCAACGTGCAATCTAAATCAAATTTGGTATTTTTTTTCTACTGATCTGAGTCAATATTGCAACGAATTGAACATTATAGTTTAAGAAATAAGGAATAATAATAATTGAATTAATATGATGATGAGTGCTCTATTGCAGAATTAAACATTTTGAAATATTATAGTGCAAATTTTAAGAACTTACATATATATCCCTCGTAACGATTACAAATTATTGAGAATTTTTATTACTGTATTGAATAGCTCATTGATTAATGATTTTTGTCAAAATTGGGCGATTGAACTTTACGGTAAAAAAACGACAAAAATAAAAGAATCTTGCCGCCTCTGGCAAATACCTTTGAGTCAGCTATGGTTTTGGATAATTATTTTAATAATCAAAATGATTATTTCTTGTTGGTTGTTATTGTGGATGTAAATATAATAAATACAAAGGGAATTCAGGGAATGGCGTGCACGTTAATTGGTACATTATTGGATTTATAGAAAATGAAAGACGGAAAATTTAGAAAGAACATAAAAATATTAAATTGACAAAAAAGGAGAAATATTTTTTTTGAGTTAGTGATGAAGTATTTTGTCTTTCTATATTTAGATGGTTAATATTTATGAGAAAGTACATGAATTTATAATTTTTTTCTATTTAGATTAATCAAGATAAACTCATAAATACGTCACATATGTAAAACTTGAACTTAAAATTTTGTTGGTGGATAGGCAAAGCTTCCAATGAACAACCAAGGTGAGATGAGGTAACTTGAGCAACTACTTGACCACAAACTTTCAATAAGCTTGCTCAAACTTAGGATTCGTTTGGGACGATTTTCTAGTATAAAAATTAAAAATTTTATACTAAAAAATTATTTTAAGAAGCAGTAAAAAAGTCGTCCCAAATGAAACCTCATATTCATTTATATCTCTAAAGGGAAAAGTACGAAAAGAATATATTGTGCACTTATGGAGGTATGAGTTATAGAATAAGTGATGTCTTTTACATAGAATAATCCTAGATATATGTTTTGTTCCGCTGCATTTGATGTTTTTAGTAGCTCTGTTGTTCTGTGTGCTTCTGTTGAGTTAAGAATTTGAAAGATCAGTTCAGTAACCTAATCCAAAGCCAGATCCTGGTTAAGAAAGGTCTCTCGTCGCGATCCGGCTCGGGCGGGATCCGTCCCCGTCGGGTCGGGTCGTGACAGAGAGGGTCTAGCATTTAAGTCGGCGGGCGATCATAGTCGGCGGGCGACGGAGGTCGTAAAGACCGTTGTCCAACGAAGCAGGTCAGAAGAACAGTGTCAGGTAGAAGTCCAACAATGGAAAGAAATCAATCTTCAGATATACGTCCAGCGGAAATCCGATAACCGATAGAAGTCCGGCGTCGCGTAGAAACTTGGCGAAGAGTGAAGGTCCAGCGTTGGGTAGAAGTCTGACGTCTGTTGGTGGCCGAGGATAATTCCGGCATCACTTGGGCGGAGTTTCAGAGTCAGGAGGGAACTCTGTTGTTAATTGGGAAGAATTTCAGCATCCCGTGAAAGTTGGGTAGAATTCTGGCATCCCGTGGAAGTCGGGCAGAATTCCGGCATCATTTGGAGTTCGGGCGGAACTCCGACGGTAGTCGAGGAGGAGCTGATTCTCCTTCTCCTTTTCTTCATCTCCTTGCTTCTTGCTTCTTGCTTCTTGCTTGAGTCCCCCCTTATGAGGAATGAGGGCTCTATTTATAATTTTTCTGGAGTGGCATAGCTCGTAAATAGGTGTGAGATCAGGGTCAAATAGGGAGTGGTCGAATGGATGGCTGATATCGAATCCCTTGATCATGCACCGTTCGCAAGACATTTGAAAGTCTTAATGATGTCAGAATTTGACGATCTTGGACTCGTTGGATTTTTCTCGTCGAGCCGCTCGATTTGACTATAAGCTCGTCAAAATCGAAGACCGTTTGGAAACTCAAAGTGTGGTACAAACTTTCCAACAGCGCTTCAAGTGCTCGATTTGGGCTCCTTTGGGCTCGGATTGAGTTGAATTTGATGTTGTTGGGTTCTTATTTCTGAGACGTTCAGTTTGACTATAAGCTCGCTGAAATCGGAGTTAAGGTGCTCCCGGATTTAATTGTTGAAGTTTCCAACTTGATTTTTGCCTCGAGATCCGTGCCCGATCAATATAATTTTATGACAGAAGTATCAAGGTTGAAAGTCGTAAATAATAAATTGGTAGAGGTTGGCAGTAGGCAATTCGTTTGTATAGGTTAGACAGATTAGAAATTCATTTCCTGTTCATCTCAACATCCTACATACACATAAATATGTTAAGAGCATCATATAAGGGATATGGGATTTTTTTTTTTCAATGTAAAAATAGAGGATTATTACCTAATTTAAATAATTACACTAGTGACTATAACGGGCATTTCTTCATAATTAGAGAAGATGTTGATATAATGTAATTAAAATGAATCGGGGAAGATATCTTCTATAGTGGTGGTAGGAGTCTTGATGTATGAAATGATTTGCACTTGCTAACATTTAACTTATTTCTTACTATATGCTATATATATATGGTTGTGTATTTGTCCGATTTTAGTTTAGTGTGATCCGTATCAGATATCATATTTATGTAAATCTCTATAAGTAAGAGGTAAAACTAAATTATGCATCTAGCATAAGTTGCACCAATTAATTCTTGGCAACTATTTATAGCTTATATTGCACCCGTTCATGGTAACCATGCTTGATTTTGGCATAACAAAATTGCTTAATTTAAGTTGTTTTAATTCATGATGGTTTGTGAATGGTATTATTTAGTGGGTCAAAGATTAGAAAAATATACTTTTGTGAGATATTGCTTATAGATTTTTTTTTAAGATATTGCTTATAGATAGAATCATTTAACATACACATAAGTTTTATAATAGGATCCTCACCTCTATGAGCAAGATCGTGAGCATGCCTTCTCACATGAGTTTTGTATGGAGTTTCATTCAAACCTAATGTCATGAGATCATATATATATATGAAGAGATAGGGGCTAT